TCTAGAGCAGTGATGTTTCGGGGCTGTCGCTGGGCAACACTGGGCAACAAGACTTTCAACTCCTTCCACAAATTTTCTATGGGGTTGAGGTCTGGAGACTGGTTAGGCCACTCCAGGACCTTGAAATGCTTTTTTACGGAGCCACTTCGTTGCCCGGGCAGTGTGTTTGGGATCATTGTCATGCTGGAAGATCCAGCCCCGTTTCATCTTCAAGACTCTTAGAAGGAGGTTTTGGCTTAAAATCTCACGATACATGGCCCTGTTCATTCTTCCCTCAACACGGATCAGTTTCCCTGTCCCCTTTGCAGAAAAATAGCCCCAAACCATGATGTTTCCACCCCCATGCTTCACAGTAGGTATGGTGTTCTTGGGACTCTGCATTCTTCTTCCTCCAAACACGACGAGTTTAGTTTTTACCAAAAAGTTCTATTTTGGTTTCATCTGACCACATGATATTCTCCCAGTCCTCTTCTGGATCATCCATAATGCTCTCTGGCAAACTTCAGACGGCCTGGACATGTACTGGCTTACACGCCTGGCAGGGGAACACGCCTGGCACTGCAGGATTTGAGTCCCTCTCGGTGTAGTGTGTTACTTATGTTAGCCTTGTTACTTTGGTCCCAGCTCTCTGTAGGTCATTTATCAGGTCCCTCCGTGTAGTTCTGGGATTTTTGCTCACCGTTCTCATGATCATTTTGACCCCACGGGATGAGATCTTGTGTGGAGACCCAGATCGAGGGAGATTATCAGTGGTCTTCTATGTCTTCCATTTTTGATTTTTTCACACCAACCTGCTTGCCTATTGTAGATTCACTCTTCCCAGCTTGGTGCAGGTCTACAATTTTCTTCCTGGTGTCCTTCGACAGCTCTTTGGTCTTGGCCATGGTTGAGTTTGGAGTGTGACTGTTTGAGGCTGTGGACAAGTGTCTTTTATACACAAATCCGCCGCGAACACTATGGGTGCCGCCATCTTGCCTGCCGCCATTACCGCTGTTACTGTTTCAGTAACAATACAGAGAAAATTATTAAAGGGACTCTTTTAGGTATTTTTAGGTATTTTATTATCTGAAATCAATATTTTTATTCATAAATATGTCCTCAATGGTGTACAAATACCTCTGCAAATTATCTGACTTATCCTCGTAAATGAAGAATTTATTATCTTTATGTACATGGGACGGGTAGGTTCACGGAGGCTTCCATGTCCGTTCCGCCATCTTGAAAAACTATAATAGCAGAGAGGGTCAAAAAGTACCACCAGCCAAACGCGTTTCCACAACGCGTTTTCGTTCAGACTCAGATCCATCATCACGTCACATTGAGAGGCGCATTCCCTGCAAGTTTAAACGGCTGCATTGCACTCCTATGATTGCTGATTGCTCTTTTGCTCTATTATTTGTAATGGCGGACCATATGCCGAGTCACAGGAGAATGCATCCTCCTCGCAAAAAAAGGCCAGACTTGAACGAAAAAGGAAACGTGACCGGAGATTGCAAAAAACAAGGCCATTAATTTTCGGATCGGGTTCGATTTTCTGCGTTTTTCGCATCCAGAGCCAGCATTTTGAGAGGTCTTTTGACAATTCAGGGCCGGGGGAGCTCGTCCTCAAATCATTGAACATATGCGCCGTGCTTTCAGTTTCGGTTTTCAATTCGATCAAGTGTTTATGTTCTCTTCTCTATATTGGATTATGAAATTAATAAACCTCCCCTTTCAATCAGATTGAAATTTAGGATCAAATAAAGTGTGATTGAGCAGTCTATTCGATAACTAATGTATTATTTGGGCACAATATACACAATACACAATAACAGCCTAGCTGTTCTGTCTGCCCAGCGCTTCCACCGGGCCGCGCGCGGGTGTGTGAGTGTTTGTGCGTGTGTCTATACCTGGTCCATACCAGACACACTGCCAGTCTCCGTTCAGAATCGATTGGTTCACGGAAATTGGTGGTCTTGTTTTTAATATGTGGTTCCAGAATCGCTAGCAAAGCATCAAACTGTCCCACTGACATTCTGAGGTAAATTTTGAATCGCTCAGGATAAATTTGCAACTCGGCGACTCCTCTCGGCGCAATTTCAGGATTGGATGGACGTAATATTTTCTCTTTCTTCTCTTTTCAATATGAGAGAGGGCAAAAATCATCCTCACTGCTTGACGAATCCATTTGGTATTTTTGCGTTTTTTTTCCCGCAAAGGTTTAATAAATACGCAACGGACTCGGTGTGCAAGGTTTCTATGCGTGACGAATTTTTAGGCTGACGTACACGAAAATACGCATACGAAAATTTCGTACTCAGTGTGCAATGGCCTTAAATATCGGGATAGCGTTTTCAACCGTGGAAAGAGCTAATGCAGCAGAAAGATTTCAGAAGAGACGCTGAAGTTGCCTGCTTTCTCCTCGACAGGTTAGTCAATGTTACAGTCTTACTTAATTTTTTTGTCATTGCTTGGTTGTGTACTTTATTATATAGACAGTATAACATTTATAGGTAAAAAAGTTAAACAAGGTCTTTGATGAATAGCAGCTATTGACTACTTTACTCGCAGCTATTGTGAAGGAAGGTGCTAAAAACAAGGTTTGTAAGTTAATTCTTTTTATACCATGGTCTGGGTGAATACTCGATTCTGATTGGCTGCAGGGTGTCCGTTAAAAAGTGATAGAGGACACCTAGTAAAGTAGTTCTGGTGAAACTGCCTGTTTACCATTCGAAATTAATAAATAAATGCGCTGCCTACAACAGCTGTGAGTAACCATAGCAACAGGCAGTCACATGCTCTATCATCTAACGTAAGATATTATAGCCTAATACAACAATGAGCGACTTCGTGCTATTTCTTTTAACATTTATGGAGAATATGGCAAATTTGACGACTGGTATGCTGCTGAAGAAAGAAAAAATGTAAATAAAACGGAGAAAATTACACCGCTGCTGCTCTGTTCCATTGAACTCTATTGGTAACGACGTAACTTGCGACTATAGTTGGATAACGATGCTTTCGGGAAACGCACCCCTGAATGAGACCCTGCGGGAGTTTTACGCAGCTGTCCAGACAACCAAGGCAGGAGAAGGCTGAACGTTACAGCGTTTCAAGCCTAAGGAGCCTGCAGGCAAATGACCCTCTCTTTGATCTGATTAATTTATTGCCCATAACGTTAAGCGCAAATCGCCGGAGCTCAGAGCTAATTGTTTTTTTTATTGTTGTTTGATTAATTGTTTTATGTGTAATTTAAAAAAAAAAAAAAAAAACTATGCCTACCTTTGTGTTTCATGAAAAAAAAAATGCATTTGTGAACCTGAAGGGATACGAGCTAAGCGGACTATATCTCCGGTTGCTAAATAAACAGTCAGGCAAGGCAAGTTATTATTTGTAAAAACTAGATTTAGCCTAATTAAAATATAAACTAATGTTTTATTTGGCAAGTGACCATGGTATAAGCGGGTTAATGCCCTCCGAGGTGTCCATTGTCAGGTTTTAATCGACTTCGGCGGAGGCAACCGTCCTCCGCTGCGCGTCGGCCGGTTTATGCCTCGCCGTCGTCCATTAAAACCTGACAATGGACACCTCGTCGGGCATTAAGTCAAGTCAAGTCAAGTCAAGTCACATTTATTTATATAGCGCTTTTCACAATACAGATTGTATCAAAGCAGCTTCACAGTGATAACATGAAAGTAGCACAACACAGATCATTAACCCTTACATAACCTATAAATTCAGTAAGAATATAGAGATAATGATTGTAAGAAAATTTTGAAGAAAATATTGCTCTCTGTAAGATTTTCTATAGCTTTCTTTTTTTATATAAATTATCAATTAGCTAAAATTGTGATTTTGCTATGTGGATAAGATTGTACAGAGAATTAAAATTAATTTATACAGCTAGACACATAAATTGTACACATAAGTTAACACATAAGTTGCTGGGGGTTTTTTAAGTTACAAACCTGTTCACCTGGAGAAAAACTTGATGAAGTGTTACTACAAGACATCCTGTCATAGCATTTTTGGTACATAACGGCAACCGTAGATGCAATACGCACTTGAAAAAGCGAGGTGCTGGAGAGCAAAATTCGTTTGAATGCAAAATACTATTTAACCACTAGATGGGGGTAATTCCTACACAGAGTCCCTTTAAAACAGCCAACCACACAACACGCTCTTCCCGGCATCACTGGACATACGTACAAAATAACTAAATAAAAACATCTAACATCTGCTATAGCCGCTTACAAGAACAACACGCTACTTCTGCAGCAGGCCCGCCATAATGGCGGCGCTGCTTTACTTCCGTGTTTCGCCGGATTTGTGTATACAGATAATGGGTTCAAACAGGTGCCAATAACACAGGTAACGAGTGGAGGACAGAAGAGCTTCTTAAAGAAGAAGTTACAGGTCTGTGAGAGCCAGAAATCTTGCTGGTTTGTGGGTGACCAAATACTTATTTTCCACCCTAATTTACAAATAAATTCTTTAAAAATCCTACAATGAGATTTCCTGGATTTTTTTTTTTCTAATTTTGTCTCTCACAGTTGAAGTTGTAATGATGACGTTGCAATTTAATATGTTTAAAATAAATTAATTTTGCATGTAATATCGAATAACACACTATTGTTAAAATTGTAACAAAGTATTTTATATATTTTAAGATTTGAAGTACACTATACAAGCACATTCAGGGCAATTAAGTACACTTTTTCACAAATGTTATTATGGAGAAAAGTACAGAGAGAACAGTAAATGATGGGAGAGAGGGGAGGCTAGACTGGGAAATGTCATAAAATGTTAAAGTCATTGATGAGTATAAAATACAACATAAATCCATGAAATGTCTGTTATTTACTCAGGCTTGAGCTTGTTGTCATGGCACCACAAGTTCTTATTACCAGTATGACAGTCTGAAGCATTCTTGTGTTGTTCCTCATTGACTTTTCTGACAGAGAGATGTCAGGTCATTTCTATTATGATCCTTTTCTCATGTGCTTCTCTTTCACACTCAGACTGAGAAACATGACAACTGTGCTTATGACTTCCTGGAAGTGAGAGACGGTGATTCTGAGAGCAGTCCTCTACTGGGCCGTTTCTGCGGCTACGAAAAGCCAGATGATGTCAAAAGCAGTTCCAACCAGCTGTGGATGAAGTTTGTATCTGATGGTTCTGTGAACAAAGCTGGATTTGCAGCTAATTTCTTTAAAGGTGACACTCCTAAATTGCATATTGACCTCTTTACCTACTTTTGTGACCTCCTGACCTTGAACTTTGCTTGTAATGCAGAGATTGACGAATGTTCCAGGCCTGATAAAGGTCATTGTGAGCAGCGCTGTGTCAACACCCTGGGCAGCTACCACTGCGCCTGCAACCCTGGTTACGAGCTCGCCCCGGACCGCCGAAGCTGTGCAGGTGATTCCAATTACCTGCTCATGTAAAATGCACAGCAATGTGCTGAAAACCATGCAGAATACCCTAGTTTTATCTACGATCCTCACATTTAACCAGAAGTCTTGGTCAACAGAAGTTACATTCCCTTTCGTAGTCACTCCGAGTTACGTCGGAATGACGGAGAATGGGGGTTTCGCATAGAAAGCCAATCCTCTTCGAGTATTCAAAAACGAGCCAATGGCATGAAATGCCGTGGGGCTGCGGAATTTGCATAGCGTAACTCCGCCCCACCCTGTGGGTATAAAAGGAGGAAGTGAACGCAACCGCAGTATGTTTTCGCTTCGGAGCCAAGAGACTTCTTCACTTCTAAAGCCAGTTTCTCTGAGTACAACTCTTCCAGACGAGCGTCCTCTTCAGTGTTGGTGTGACGGCGGTACCCAGCGAGATTCTGCATTGCCTGCGATCTGAGCAGTGGTCTGCCAGACTTTGCGCTTCTCCCTGGTCGCTTCAGCGCTGAAAGAGTGAATTTCCTCCTCTCTATTGAAAGAGCTGCACGTGGCACGTCTTTTTAAAGACGGTTCGCCCGTGTTCTTCTGGGTGCGGTCGATTCATGTCGTCTTCTGATGGTCACGATCGCTGCTCATGGGCATTCAGCATGCAGCAGCAGCGTTCGTGGATGTCTCATGTTCCTTCTGTGGGAACATGACCATCTCTACACTGCGATCTAGACTCAATGAGCTTGAGCTCAACAACATTGAGCTTATAGCAGTAAGTTGTCGACCTTACTATTTACCAAGGGAGTTTTCCCATGTTATTGTCTTGGTGGTGTATATACCCCCATCGGGTAATGGGAAATGCGCTACTGACACTATTTCGAAAATTACGACTTACAGCGGTCCTCTCCAGACGCACTGGTTATCATAAATGGGGATTTTAACCACAGCTCTCTCTCAACCTCTCTGCCGTCTCTTAAGCAAATGGTGACGTGTCCTACAAGGAGTGACAAAACTATTGACCTGTTTTATACGAACGTTAAGGATGGCTATGTTGCCAAAGTACTCCCTCCGCTAGGTAAATCGGATCATAACTTGATAACCTTGATGTCTAAATATACTCCGGTGATGCGGAAACAGCCGACAACGACAAAGACTGTGCGCATCTGGACAGAGGATGCCTGTGAGACATTAAGAGGGTGCTTTGATTGCACAGATTGGACTGTATTTTTTGATGGAGACAGTGATTTGGACAGTATTTCTGACAAAGTGACTTGTTATATTAATTATTGTGTTGAGTCTATAATCCCTTGAAAATTAATCAAAAATTTTCCCAATAATAAACCTTGGGTCACTAGAGAAGTTAAGGCTGCTATAAATAAGAAGAAAGCTGCTTTCTACAGTGGTGATAAGGAAAGAATTAAAAATGCTCAAAGAGAGTTGAAAGTTATTATTAAACAGGGCAAATTAAAGTATAAGGAAAAGGTAGAAGGAAATATGTCCTGTAGTAATACAAGAGGACTATGGAATGGTATGAAATCTATTACTGGATATGGGACCAGTAAACCCAGTTTATGTAATTTGGGTTTACAGGCTAACGATGTCAATACCTTTTTTGCAAGGTTTGATGAATTAGACTTTTCTTTACTACATGAGAATGCCCGTTCTAATCTTAGGCAGTACAGCTCTGAGGACTGTAGTCCAGCTGATCTTCTTAGCACTGAAGAGGTTCGTCAGCACTTACGGCGTATTAAACCAAATAAAGCAGTAGGTCCTGATGGTGTTCATCCACGTACCCTAAAAGTGTGTGCTGACCAGTTGTGCTCTGTTTTTCATTTATTGTTTTCTCTGTCTCTGTCTTTTGCCAAAATCCCAGTTAAGTGGAAAACATCCTGTCTTGTCCCTATTCCCAAAAAAGCTAAGGTGTCTAACAATCTTTCTAATCTGAGGCCTATAGCTTTGACTTCGCAGATTATGAGATGTTTTGAGAGGGTTGTACTGGATCATCTGACTAGGCATGTGTCTGCCTTTCAGGATCCTTTGCAATTTGCTTATAGGAAGGGTGTGGGGGTAGATGATGCACTGCTATTCATGCTTCACAATATTTATAGTCATCTTGAAACTACTGCCAGTTCCGTTAGGATCATGTTTTTTGATTTTTCGAGTGCTTTTAACGCTATACAGCCACATATTTTAGTTAATAAATTAATTAATTTTAAGTTGCATAAAACAACCATTGCCTGGATCCTAGCCTTCTAACCTTCTAGCACGACCACAGTTTGTTAGGATGGGTAACAAACATTCTAATACCATTTTAACTAATACAGGAGCACCTCAGGGTACAGTTTTATTCGCCTTTTTATTTTCACTTTATACTGCTGATTATAGGCATAGTCAGCCATCCTGCTGGATACAAAAATTCTCTGATGACACTGCTTTAGTAGGTCTACTTAATAAGGGTGATGATCTTGCTTACCGAATGGAAGTTCAGTCTTTTTATAACTGGTGTGATTCAAACTTTCTGAAACTGAACATTGGGAAGACGAACTTGTGATTGACTTCAGAAAGAAAAAAGAGAAGGTCCTCCCAGTTAGAATTGATGGTGAAGAGATCGAGATTGTGCAGTCATATAAATTTTTGGGCGTTCATTTGGATGAAAAACTAAACTGGAAAGAGAACACTAGTGTTGTGATGTAGAAGGCTCAGTCGAGACTGTTCTTTTTGAGAAAACTAAGATCATTTAATATCAGCACAAAACTCTTAAATGTTTTTTATCAAGGGATTTTAGCTAGTGTTCTTTTTTATGCTGTACTTTGCTGGGGGGGAAGTATATCTGTTGAGGACAAAAATAGGATAAATAAACTGATCAAGAGAGCTGGTTCAGTTATTGGTCTTTACCCAGATGCATTGGAGGTTACTGTGGAGAAGAGGATGCATTCAAAATTGAAAACTGTCCTGCTTTTTGAAGGCCATCCACTACACAATTTGTTTAGGGGACTCAGAAGCTCTTTTAGTAAGCGATTGGTTCTGTCTCGGTGTTCTAGTGAGCGGATGAGAAGATCTTTTTTCCCAGCAGCAGTCAGATATTTTAATGAACATTGTTAATTATTGAGTGACATCCAGGCCTTTAATAGAGTTAGTGTTTGATTATTTTTGCACTGTGTAATTGAATATTTCTTGTAGATGTGTCTTATCAGGTTTTGGTCATTCTTTTAATGCATATTTATTTATTTATTTGTCTGTTAGTTGTGTACTGTGTTTAAGGTTGTACGGTTGGTGGCAAACCAGTTTCCCTACCGGGATTAATACATTTTCAATCAATCAATCAACCAATCAATCAATGATCTGATAAAAGTGAGAGTCCCCGTGTCCGCTACTCGTTCTGCTTCTTAAAAAAGGAAGCTCTTCGACTCGCGGACAGGGTGATTTGACGGTGACTGTGTGGAACAAACACCCACCGCTCCAGTGTTAGAGCCAGCGAGCGGCGAATCGATTCAGGCGTCTGCCTCTTCACAGGTACCGTCTGTTTCGTTCGGCGCTCCAGAGGATGATGCGATGTCGGTCGCAGCATCACAAGGCGGGCTTGACTCCTCGGGAAGTGAGGATACGGCTGCGTTGCCTCCCTTGGGAGTGACAGCGTTGCCCGTGTCTGATCCCAAGCCGCTATCTCGGGCCACCGTGAGTATCGGGCTGGAGTGGAACTCCGCCCTGTCCCGATCTCTCGCGGATGGATAATTGTTTTTTGGGCAAGGCTGCCGCCTCACGGCCACAGCCGACCCCAATTCCCTTTTTTTCCCGAGCTGCATGTGGAACTGACACGCACTTGGAAGGCTCCTTTGACCTCCCGAGAGCGTTCGTCAGTTTCCCCCGCCTTTTATTCCCCTCGACGGCTCGGTTGCCAGTGGGTACGCTGGGATTCCCCCGGTGGAGTTCTGTTGCGATGCAACTGTGTCCACAGAGCGCGTCCTCCCGCGGTACTCCCAAGCGCCCATCCAAAGCCTGTGGGTTCTCGTCGTCTATGGCGGCGCGATCCTGTAGAGCGGCGGACAGGAAGCCTCCGCCCTGCATGCGATGAGCAATTTGTTTTTCAAGCCAAGCTGCTCAGGGATATGCACGTGGGGGGGAATGAACAAGCGAGTGGCGAGCTGCCACCGACCTCGCCACCGAGGACGTCCCCCTGCGGCTCCCTTCCCTCCCACGCGGCCCCAGCAGCAGCCTTCAGCCGGATCGCGTCGCGGAGGAGGCCGCAGGAGAGCTTCACAGCCCCTTCAGGCCGCGTGCCCTCCTAACGCCAGGCGAAGCGGCGTTCCTGAGATGGGCTGCTCAGTGATAGTGTCAGGGTTTTTCACAGGAGGCGGTAGCAGGGCCCCTCCTTCCCCCGGTGGAGGGCCGGCGGAGAATTTTTTTTTCCCAGCTCCCCGCTGCTCACCCACGAGTGGGCAGCACCCTGAGTTGGTTGAAGAAAGACTCATGAGTGCGCACGATGTCACAGCGCGTCGCCCCACTCATTCCTCTCTGTCTCTGAGGGTGCGGAAGGGATCATGTGTCGTCCCTTGACTACACCACTCCCCTCCCCCTCTATCGCCAGACCCCCGGCAGAACAGACCCCCGTGGAACGCTGGTCCTTCCCTGGTCTCTTCTGTCATTGAACGGGGCTCGACTGTGCACCCGCACGGGGTAACTCCTGTGCGCATGCCGGTCTCCCCACCTCGCTGCCCCTCCGGGGGGACGTCTGTGGTTCGCATGACCCCGCTGGTTCAGTTCCTGGGAGCCTGGCTAGAGCTCCCCGGCCTGTCCCGCTGGGTCATCAGAACGATCAGATTCGGCTACATGATTCAGTTCGCACAGTCTCCTCCCCGTTTCAGGGGAGTTCGCTTCACAGTGATCGGTGGCTATGCCCCAGTCATGAGAGCGGAAATTGCGACCCTGCTGGCGAAGGGTGCAATCGAGACGGTCCCTCCAGCCGAGATGAGGTCAGGGTTACAGCCCCTACTTCATCGTCCCCAAGAAGACCGGTGGGTTAAAACCGATCCTGGATCTGCGCATTTTGAGCCGTACTCTTCATCGAGTGCCGTTCAAAATGCTCACAGCCAAACGCATTTTCGAATGCGTCCGGCCTCAGGATTGGTTTGCAGCGATAGACCTGAAGGACGCGTACTTTCATGTCTCCATCTTGCCTCGACACAGATCGTTTTTTCGGTTTGCTTTCGAGGGCCAGGAATATCAGTACGCGGTTCTCCCATTTGGGTTAGCTCTGTCCCCTCGCGTCTTTACGAAGATCGTCGAGGCAGCCCTTGATCCCCTTCGCGAACACGGGGTTCGCATCCTGTATTATCTCGACGATTGGCTGATCCTAGCACACTCTCGAGAAAAGGTTGCGAACACAGAGACCTGGTGCTCCAGCACCTAGCCCGTCTGGGCCTTCGGGTCAACCGGGAAGAAGAGCAAAATTTGCCCCGTGCAGAGGATCTCTTTTCTCGGTATGGAGATAGACTCGGTCGCCATGTCCGCGCAGCTCACGAACGAGCGCGCGCACTCACTGCTGACTTGTCTTCGACAGTTCGAAGGCAAGAGTGCGGTTCTACTGAAATTTTTTCAGAGGCTCCTGGGGCATATGGCATCTGCAGCCACGGCAACGCCGCTCGAATTGCTTCATATGAGACCGCTTCAGCTGTGGCTTCGCGATCGAGTCCCGAGGTGGGCATGGCATCGCGGCTCGCTCCGAGTTCCAGTGACTCCAGCGTGCCGCCAGACCTTCTTCCCGTGGTCGAACCTCAGCTTTTTACGGGCCGGTGTCCCTCTGCTGCGAGTTTCCAGGCATGTCGTTGTCTCCACGGATGCCTCTACCACGGGTTGGGGTGCCATGTGCAATGGGCATGCAGCCGCGGGTTCCTGGACAGCCGCGGGTTCCGGGTTCCTCCTTCTATGGAGTCAGAAGCACCTGAGGTCCCTTCATGGTGTACATTCCAGGAGACCGGAACCTGACGGCCGACAAGCTGTCACGGGTCCACCCTATCTCCGGCAAATGGCGACTCCATCCCCAGACGGTCCAGCTGATTTGGGACCAGTTCGGGGAGGAACAGATAGACCTGTTCGCCTCTCGGGACTCATCCCACTGCGCCCAGTTTTATTCCCTGTCCGAGGGCACGCTCGGCACAGATGCACTGGCGCAGAGCTGGCCGCGGGGCCACGCAAGTATGCGTTTTCCCCTGTGAGCCTTCTTGCACGGGTGTTGTGCAAGATCAAGGAGGACGAGGAGCAGGTCTTGTTGGTAGCCCTTACTGGCCCACCAAGACGTGGTTCTCCGAACTGATGCTCCTCGCGACAGCACCTCCTTGGCCTTCCTCTGAGGACACTCTCAGAGACGGGGCATCCTGTGGCACCCTCGTCCCGAGCTCTGGAGCCTACACCAAAATGTGGCCCCTGGACGGGATGAGGCAGGTTGAGTTCGCTGCTTCCTGCGGTGGCGGCAACCATCACTTCCGCTAGAGCGTCGTCCATGAGACGCCTCTGTGCGTCAAGGTGGAACCTCTTCGTCAACTGGTGCTCTTCCCGTAAGAAGACCCCCGGAGATGTTCGATCGGTGTCGTGCTTTCCTTCCTGCAAGAGGGGTTGGAGCGTAGGCTGTCGCCCTCCACCCTTAAGGTTTACGTCGCGGCCATTGCCGCGTCTCATGATGCAGTGAAAGGTAAGTCTATGGGAAAGCATGACCTGGTCATCAGGTTCCTGAGGGGAGCGGGGAGGCTAAATCCGCCTCACCCTCCCCTCGTGCCCTCTGGGACCTCTCGGTAGTGCTAAGTGCTCTGCAGAGGCCTCACCTGGAGCCTTTTCAATCGGTAGAGTTTTTGTCCTGTCCTATGTAGACAGCACTCTTGGTTGCATTGGCCTCCATGAAGAGGGTAAGGGACCTGCACGCATTCTCCGTTGACAAAGCGTGCAAGCCATCTGCCACACCTGGAGCTAAGTTTTTAGCCACCCGTAGGTTGGTGCTCCAGTGATCTCCATATGTAGTCCCTAACACGGCCATATGTGTATTCTTAAGTCCTCCCTACGGTAAGCATTTGGTTGCATGTCCCTCCCGGGTTATGCTTCCCAGTGTACCTTGGTATTCCTTGGTGTTAAATTAGTAACTCCTGGTTATAAGGTAAGTTTAGTAGTCCAGACTTTCGCAGGGCACTGGAAGACAGCTGTAAGATGGCGTGATGGCACAGACCCCCATTCTCCGTCATTCCGACGTAACTCGGAGTGACTACGAAAGGGAACGTCTCGGTTACGGATGTAACCCTCGTTCCCTGAGTAGGGAACGGAGACGTTACGTCTCCTTGCCACTTCTGCTGTACCGCTGGGTAGACGCCTGAGTTCAGTCTCGGCTCCTCAGCGAAGACATACTGCGGTTGCGTTCACTTCCTCCTTTTAGACCCACGGGGTGGGGCGGAGTTACACTATGCAAATTCCGCAGCCCCAAGGCATTTCATGCCATTGGCTCGTTTTTAAATACTCGAAGAGGATTGGCTTTCTATGCGAAACCCCCATTCTCCGTCATTCCGACGTAACGTCTCCGTTCCCTACTCAGGGAACGAGTGTTATATCCGTAACCGAGACGTTTCTTCTAAATATCAAACAGTGCTTGATAGATTACTTACAAATTGTAGTGAGTTACTGATTCCAATTACTGTTTATCACATTGATTTGAATAGGATAATCTAAAAGTGTTTTTTTGCTAGTTTCAGCCCGACGCAGTTATTATATCCACATCCTGTGCTAAATTTTTTAAATAGCAAATGCCCATTTGTTCACCCATGAGTGCGCTGCTCTGAAAACGAGGTGTGTTCAGGGGCATTGTTGGTGCATTGCTATTTTGAGGCAACTGAAATAGACTGCGCCATTGACCAACAAAAACCTGGTCTACAAATGGTTAGGTTTAGGTTTAGGGGGTTGGGTTACATACATGCTCAAAAATGTCTCAATGTGCTGGTTCTACCTGTTATTCTCAGCCTTTGTAAATAGAAAAAGCCTTTCTAAATGGACTGTGAAATCAGGCCTAAAGTGGTTCCCTTTTAACAAATAGCCATAACTGATCAGGAAAACCAGTGTGGAAATTATATTCCAGGTAAAATGGACCATTTCAATCACTGCTCTTCAATCAGGCTTTGAGGGTTTTCGGAGTGGTAACCTACTTTTCATTATATCTGTTTGTCAGATATTAAATGCAGTCATTGTACTGGAAAATTAGAACATGTCTAACTGAAGTGGTGTGAATAGGAGAAATCATGGGGCTTGAAAACTGCTGTTACTTTTCCAAGTGATCAGATGAGTCCGAGAATTTCTTTTTTTCGAATTCGTCATTCGGTGGCTCTAAATTGTCAAAACACCTCTCAAAATGCGAAAAACACAGGAAATTTAACTCAATCTGATTTTTTTTATGACGGACAAACGTTTCGGAGGCAGTGTGTAAATGTGATCGACACAAACGTGAGGTAGTATATATTTTTTTAACACATGGACTATTAATAAGCCATAATGTATATCATACAAGTGGTTTACTGATGCTTACATTGAGGTTGCTTTAGATCTTTGACCAGCTTTGATGTTTCTGGCAATGGAAAAATAATTATAATTGAGTTCTTGAAAGCAGGATTTTTTTTTCCTGAAAGCCTTCAAAGGCATGCTTGTTTGGCTAGTCAGAATATTTGTGTTTAACATTCTGGATCACGTGAATCTCTTTGCAAGTTGGCTTGCCTCAAAGTCAATCAAGCCAATATAATAATGATTTCTGTATCTGATCCCAGCAGCAGCCTGTGGAGGATTCATCTCTAAACTCAATGGCTCCTTCAATAGTCCAGGATGGCCGCAGGAATACCCGCCCAATAAGAACTGTGTGTGGCAGCTCATAGCACCTGTGCAGTACCGCATCACGTTGCTTTTTGACACTTTTGAGACCGAGGGGAACGATGTAAGTTGACTTTTGACTTTGATGTAACTTTTCTGTATTTACAGATATGACGAGACTAGGGCTACTACCCCCGACTTAAGATTTTTCTAGTTAATTAGTAGTTGTTTATTTAAGCCATTAGTCAACTAATTACGTGTTTATACTAATTTAAATATAAAAAAATATATATACTAGGCCAAATATATAGCCTATTCTGCACTCGGAGCACCAGCAAAAGTATTGATTGTGGATGTGTTTTTAAAAAAATAGCAAGGAGACATTTTAATTATTTATTAACTCTTTCCCTGTCTGCATTTTTTTTTTTTTTTTTTTTGGTTTCCGGTAATCAAAATATGGTCATCCTACGCTATACTATAGCTTCCACACTCTAAAGCCTAATAATCATACACATTTATCTAGGTTAACGTTAAGAGTTATGTAAAGTTGCTACTACTTACATGTTTGAATTTGCTGCCCAAAATACTGTAATTACCAGAAGAACCCGCCGTTAATGCTTTGTCCCTCACGGACTGTGTGACTTTGCCACTTCCTGTGGACTTTTTTTCTGCTACAAAAATCAATTTTAAACAATTTTGGTTTTAGTCGATTTTAAACAATTTTGTTTTTTAAAGATTTAGTCGAATATTAGGGGTCAGCCCTGGACGAGACACTCTCGGGCGAGTGGCGTATGTATGCAATTTCTAGCGATAACCATCCTGATAGGTCTAAAGTATTAACATGTTTAATATGCTTACCATGAATCAGGGTAAGACAATAAGATGTTTTGAAAGAAGGATTGATTATCTACTAACTATTTGTTTATTTATATGTTCATTTTGAGCAAAACAAAAAAAAGAAAAAGTGAAATCTATTCATTGGTTGTCTGTCTGTTTACAGGTTTGTAAATATGATTATATTGAGGTACACAGTGGTTTGTCCACTGACGCCAAGCTTCATGGGAAGTTCTGTGGCACAGAGAAACCGGAAGCGATCACGTCCCAGCTCAACAGTATGCGTGTCGAGTTCAAATCAGACAACACTGTGTCCAAGAGAGGCTTCAAAGCTCAGTTCTTTTCTGGTGAGCATGATAACTGAAATTTGCGTTTGTCTTGTCAGCTAACGAACAATATAAATGAGTTTCAGACATTCTTGACTTTCTTTTCTGACTCTTTTAAAGAATACTTTCTGAAGGTTCTTGCACTTAACCCAGAATTTATGTCAAGCTGTCCTTCAGTTTGTAAATACATACATTTACAGTAATGTACTTACTGTCAGGAACTGTCAAGTTTCCTTTAAAAGCCTCCAAGAATGTTGTAGACTCGTCTTTCACTGTCATTTATATAATTGGTCGTATTGTTGTCAATCAACAAACTACAGAAAAAACTACAGTTGCTCTTTTTCTCTGGCAGACATGGATGAGTGTTCTAGGGAGAATGGAGGTTGCCAGCATGAGTGTGTTAACACGTTTGGGAGCTACAGCTGTCAGTGTCGCAGCGGCTTTGTGTTGCACACCAATAAACATGACTGCAAAGAAGGTTCGTCTTTAGATCACGTTATCAATCATTCTTGAATTAGAGGCATTCATTTGGCCTAAATTGGAAAAAATTAAGTCTTGAAGATTTCAAAGCTCTATTCTTTTTGAACTCCTACAGATGCAGAGATTAATGTTTTTTGCGAAGGGCTGTTTCCTTATTGTTCCAGGGCTGCCCTGAGTACACAAAAAAGCAAACACATTTCCATTTGCTTTTTGTAAACTCTTTAAACCTGAAGTTACAATTACAACTTAAAGCTACAATATGTCTTTTTTTTTCGCCGCTAGGAGTCGCTAACCTCTTATGCTACGTTCACACCGGACGCAAATAGGGCGTCAGGCGCGAATGATTTCAATGTTAAGTCAATGCAAAGACGCTTTACGCGCGTGAAAAATTCCTGCGGCGCGAATGAGGCGTGGAGCGCGGCGCGGAAGACGCGAATACGCCTCATTTGCGCGTCAAGTTGGCGCGAATGGCGCGAATTGAGCGTTGTGCATTCACGCGTTTGACGCGAATTCGCGTCTGCCGCCCGAGTTGAAAAATCTGAACTTTGCCGTGAATTCGCGCCGCGTTAACCAATCAGGAGCCTAGCTGCTTGCTCACGTGGTGAAGTGTCTGGATGCTTCAATAAATTATTTTGTTAATATGACTAAATGCATGGTGGGATTATGCACAACAAAGCAAATGTTTCATCACTTAAAACATTATTTCTATATGGAGACATGTTCATTTTGTATTGAATGTTATTCATTCCATATCTAGAAATAGTAGGCTATTATGTTGTAAAGACAATCAACATATGTGCATAAATTCGTGTCTGGACGTGAGAGAGAGAAAAAAATTACAGGACAGGTTAATAACTTTTGAAGGCTGGCTCTATTTATTATCAAAACAAAAATAAATGACAGCTAGATTAGATGGATGAGGGCGAGGGTGATCCTCGCTCAGATGCGGGACAACAGGTCATCAAACTGGGCGCGTGACAGGCGGAAGTACCGCTGACAGCGGCCGTCATCCAGCGCAGCTCCTGGAGCGAGCAAATGGTGAAACTCGCCAAACGGTTCGGCTCCGAAGGGTCCGGTGGACACAAATATACGGCGACGATGATCCCCACGCCGCTGTTCTGCTATCCAGAGTAAATACAGAGCGGTAACTCTGAACTGTGTGTGGCAGTGCTCAGTCGACATAAAAACAATGACCGCCAACGGATTTTGATTCTGACGCGCGTCACGTAAATTTCGCTTCAAACTTTACGCGCGCCAGTTTCGCTCTTGACACGCGAATTAACACTAGTGGTCAAGCGTCAAACTAGACGCGTCAGGCGCGAATTTCGCGTCCGGTGTGAACGTAGCATTACAATAACAAAGGCGTAGGTTGATGACGCAGTGATGAGCATAAAGATGGGAATTGCTGTCTGATGGATCTAATAATGTTTATAGATGAGTCAAAACATTCATGTTTTTTAACATGACTCTGGTATGAAGCAGGTCGCGATTGCTAATAAGAGACAGATATCAGCGTCACACGCGATTCCCTCGGATATAAAGGAATTATGACATTTCATTCTACCAAATTACCCACAAGTGCTGAATGTATGTGTGTGTGTGTATATATATATATATACACAGTATATATATATACAGTACTGTGCAGAAGTCTTAGGCACACTAGTATTTTCGCCTCAAAGAAATGGTTTTAAGCCAGTTATTTATATATTGTGTTGTAGTGTCTCAAAAAACGCACAAGGATTCTGACGACAGCCAATGCTCCACATGGAGGTCGGATCTCACCATTATCGAGTGCATCTGAAATTATATGAAGAAACAGAAAAAACAGAGACTAAGACCAGAAGAACTGCGGCAACGTCTCGAAGGTAGTGCCTGCCTGCCTGCCTGCAAAGCTACAGTACTGTGAAAAAGCACTTGTGTAAAAATGCTGTAAATGAGAATGTTTTCAAAAATAATGTCATAATCATAAATAGATTTTAGTTATCAATTCACTTTTATTAGTTAACTATTATTAACTGTTACTAAATCAAATCAATAGGTGTTTTGTACCCTTTACGTTTAAAACAGCTTTTGTCCAGGTATTGCACATAGTTTTTAGTTTTGCTGGTTTTTTCAAGCGTCTTTGGAAACGTTGCTGCAGTTCTTCTGGTCTTCTAGTCTCTGTTTTTTCTGTTTCTTCATATAATTTCAGATGCACTCGATGATAGTGAGATCCGACCTCCGTGTGGAGCATTGGCTGCTGTCAGAATCCTTGTGCATTCAAAAATTTCACTGGATTATAACAATTAATGGCACAATTAATGTCTGTAAATATAAACTGATATTTCCTACTGAGACACTACAACAAAATATATAAATAACTGGCTTAAAACCATTTCTTTGAAAATACTAGTGTGCCTAAGACTTCTGCATAGTACTGTATATATATATATATATATATAAACATGCATATAATTAATATCAGTAACACTATCAAAGAGTGGTGTGATTATATTACCAAAAATGTTTAATGTAACCGATTATGTTGCTAACTACATTTTTCAGTACTTACAACTATTCAAACAAGAGGAAATTTCATTAAGCTTATAGAGAATATTTTCTATGCATCCTTTCCTTCGTTGAGGATTCACAATAATCATGTCCGGGTTTTGTGTTTTTAGTGGGGTGTGATCAAGAAATTACCAGTGTGTCCGGTATCATCACAAGTCCAAACTGGCCTGATAAATACCCCAGCAAGAAGGCCTGCACGTGGACCCTATCCACCACCCCAGGCCACCGCATTAAACTTGTACTTGCATGCATCAATTGGCCTGACAAAATGAGTGGTTAAAGATACAGTACAGACTAGTAAACCATTCCAGCAGCTCAGTTTGTGTGGTGATTAATCCAAATTGTATTATCTCCCATAGGCTTTTGAAGAGATTGATATGGAGGCTCATCAGGAGTGTACATACGACCACTTGGAGATATATGATGGCCAAAATGGCAGAGCGACCAGTTTAGGACGCTTTTGTGGGGGCAAAAAGCCATCACCGGTCATTTCCAGTGGTAACACTATGTTCCTGCAGTTCTCCTCGGATAACTCAGTACAGAAAAGGGGTTTTAAGGTCTCTCATTCAGCAGGTATTTCTTTCTCTGAGTGGTCCTGAGGTTCTCCATGAACGTTTGATTTTGGCTACTGATAATCGTCCTTTTTCTCAGAGTGTGGCGGTAGTCTGAAGGCGGAGATAAAGACCAAGGATCTGTATTCCCACGCTCAGTTTGGTGATAACAACTATCCTGGAGCTTCAGACTGCCAGTGGATGATCTCAGCGGAGAAGGGCTATGGGGTGGAGCTTATCTTCCACACCTTTGAGATTGAGGAGGAAGCTGACTGTGGCTATGATTACATGGAGCTGTTTGATGGCGCTGATGTCAAAGCGCCCAGGCTGGGACGCTACTGTGGGTCTGGGGTAAGCTTGAGATTTTTGTTAAGCCAGCATAATCACACACATCTATACATTTATGTCTCAATTCTATTCTTTATAGCCACCAGAGGAGATCTATTCAGCTGGTGATGCCATTGTCATCAAATTTCACTCGGACGACACCATCAACAAGAAAGGTTTCCATGTTCGGTACACAAACACCAAGTTCCAGGACACCCTGCACTCTAGTAAGTAAGTTCTTCATGACAGAAGAGCTCCTGTGCACCTGTATTGTTGAAGCCACGTACCCGAGGCCTCTTGCTCCCTCCCCTCCAGAATGCAAAGAGGAAGTCCTAATTGTGCCATCCCCATATGTAGCCTTTCAGCTATAAAAAGCAGAGATGACAATCTGATGTAGGGACATTTCAACATTTTTTTTGTTGTACTTCAAAGAATCCATTGAAGACTATAGGAAATGGAACATCAGACTGGCAGATATTATTAGTATGAAGAGCTTTGTTGACTACAGTCAGGTCAATGATACAAGTCACAATGAGGAAGGATGAATTGGTTTCAAAATGTCCCTGATGCACTTTAGCCTCCCAGAGATCTACTCCAATCCGTGAAGGCTAGAATCTTAAATGCTTTTAGATGTTTCTTTTATTTCTAAAATAAAATCAACATTTTTTTATTGTCACACACCTGGGTAATTTGTGTTTGGAAATGTATAAAATATCATTCAGTCATACTTACAAGGATTATATTTTTTGTAAAAAAAAAAAATAATAAAAATAAAAAAATACTAGCACTATTCCTTACAATAGAGTTGTACATGATTATCCAGACTTCTAAACTTAAAAATATATTAGTAGAAATAGATCTAGTGCAACTTTACCCACTCACAAGTTGCAAGGAATAAAGTTAAGCAACAATGAAGAAGGATCCAGATTCAGCAACATCAGCTTGAGAGCCTTCCCTTAGACTTAAATTGTTTGGCATTTGAACTTGTCCATTTGAACCAATGAACTGTAAGACAATGTTAATGTGACTAATAAACAATTTGAGATGACTAAAGGTTTTTATTGCTTTTGCCTTTGTGTATAAAATGATCAAGGATAATCAGTGAATACTATAGGAATCATGATCTTTTGAAACTAGGCTACTAGGCTAAGTTTTTAGCTACAGTGAGGAAAATAAGTATTTGAACACCCTGCTATTTTGAAAGTTCTCCCACTTAGATATCATGGAGGGGTCTGAAATTGTAGGTGCATGTCCACTGTCAGAGACATAATCTAAAAAAGAAAATCCTGAAATAACAATATATGATTTTTTAACTATTTATTTGTATTTTACAGCTACAAATAAATATTTGAACACCTGTCTATCAGCTAGAATTATGACCCTCAAAGACCTGTTAATCTGCCTTTAAAATGTCCACCTCCACTCCATTTATTGTCTTAAATTAGATGCACCTGTTTAAGGTTGTTAGCTGAGACACCTGTCCACCCCATACAATCAGTAAGAATTCAACTACTAACATGGCAAGACCAAAGAGCTGTCAGAAGACACGAGACAACACACCTCCACAAGGCTGGAAAGGGCTACGGGTAAATTGCCAAGCAGCTTGGTGAAAAAAGGTCCACTGTTGGAGCAATCATTAGGAAATGGAAGAAGCTAAACATGTCTGTCAATCTCACTCGGACTGGGGCTCCATGCAAGATCCCACCTCGTGGGGTCTCAATGATCATAAGAAAGGAGAGAAATCAGCCCAGAACTACACGGGAGGAGCTGATCAATGACCTGAAAAGAGCTGGGACCACCGTTTCCAAAATTACTGTTGGTGATGATACACTAAGACGTCATGGTTTGAAATCATGCATGGCACGGAAGGTTCCCCTTGCTTAAACCAGCACATGTCAAGGCCCGTCTTAAGTAGCCTATGCCAATGACCATTTGGATGATCCAGAGGAGTCATGGGAGAAAGTCATGTGGTCAGATGAGACCAAAATATAACTTTTTGGTCATAATTCCACTAACCGTGTTTGGAGGAAGACGAATGATGAGTACCATCCCAAGAACACTATCCCTACTGTGAAGCATGGAGCATTATGCTTTGGGGGTGTTTTTCTGCACATGGTAGAGGGCGACTGCTCTGTATTAAGGAGAGGATGACCGGGGCAATGTATTGTGATATTTGGGGGAACAACCTTCTCTCAGTTAGAGCATTGAAGATGGGTCGAGGCTGGGTCTTCCAACATGACAATGACCCGAGGCTCACAGCCAGGATAACCCAGGAGTGGCTCTGCAAGAAGCATATCAAGGTTCTGCCGTGGCCTAGCCAGTCTCCAGACCTAAACCCAATAGAGAATCTTTGCAGGGAGCTCAAACTCTGTGTTTCTCAGTGACAGCCCAGAAACCTGACCTAGAGAAGGAGGAATGGGCCAAAATCCATCCGCGGTGTGTGCAACAACAGGAAACGTTTGACCTCTGTAATTGCAAACAAAGGTTACTGTACCAAATATTAACATCGATTTTTCTCAGGTGTTCAAATACTTATTTGTAGCTGTGTCATACAAATAAATAGTTAAAAAATCATACATTGTGATTTCTGGATTTTTTTTTTTTTTTAGATTATGTCTCACAGTGGACATGCACCTACAATGACAATTCAATTCACATTTATTTATATAGCGCTTTTTACAATACAGATTGTATCAAAGCAGCTTCACAGTGTTCACATGAAAGTTATACAACCATAACAACTCAGATCAATAATATTGCTGAATATTAAATGACCCCAAACTAAGCAAGCCAAAAGCAAGGCAACAGGGGCAAGGAACCAAAACTCCATCAGGCGATTGGATGGAGAAAAAAAACTTGGAGAACCCAGGCTCAGTCGGGGGCCAGTTCTCTTCTGGCAAACATACATATTGTTTCAAAGCAGCTTTACAGTAAGTGCATTTCAGAAAAGTACACGGAAAAAAATACATTTAGTTAATCATGTAATATTAATGGCATAAGATATCACCGGCGTTGAGTCGTGTCTTCACAGGCGTTGAGTCGTCTCTTCACTGGTGTTGAGTCGTCTCTTAACAGGCATTGGTCTTCTCATCATGTTGGGGCATCTGAAGTCTTCGTTAGAGGCTGGATACAAAACTGGAGCTGACGAACGCCATTTTTCTCGGGACAAGCGTCCCGAGATAACAGCAGAAAGGCAGATGGGAAATAATTAGCATAGCTGATGTTCATAATGATTTCCATTACACAGGATCAGGTAAGCATAAAGGTAAGCATTATGTGAATGCTTGACTAAAGAGATGCGTCTTTAGTCAAGTTTTAAATTGTGACAGTGAGTCAGAGCCTCGAACCATATCGGGAAGGCTATTCCAGAGTTTTGGAGCTAAATGCGAGAATGCCCTCCCTCCTTTAGTGGACTTCGATATCCTAGGAATGACCAGAAGCCTCGAATTTAGTGATCTTAAAGAACGCGGTGGATTGTAGGACGATAGAAGGTCCATTAAATACACAGGAGCTAAACCACTCAGGGCTTTATAGGTCAGTAGTAGTACTTTGTAATTGATACGGAACTTAATAGGTAACCAGTGTAGAGATAATAAAATCGGTGTTATATGATCATATTTTCTTGACCTAGTAAGAACTCTAGCAGCTGCATTTTGTACTTGCTTGTTTATTGAGGAAGCAGGACAACTGGCTAATAAAGCATTACAGTAATCTAGCCTTGAGGTCATGAATGCATGAACTAACTTTTCTGCATCAGAAACAGATAGCATGTTACGTAGCTTAGCAATGTTTCTAAGGTGGAAAAAGGCTGTTCTTGTAACATATGAAATAATTTTCGAAAGACAAGTTGCAGTTCGAAGTTCGAAAGACAAGTTCCACTTTTTTTACTGTAGTGGATAAAGTAACAGGACATTTTGTATTGTTGTATTGTTGTACAAGTTGTATTGTAAGAGGTTTTGTGTGTAGTTTTTTGGACCAATAAGTAATACCTCCGTTTTATCTGAATTTAATAGCAGGAATACGCGTCATCCAGTATTTTATATCTTTGAGACACTCTGTCAATTTAGATGAGTTAGTGTTTTCATCTGGTCGTGATGAAATATATAATTGAGTGTCGTCAGCATAACAGTGGAAATTAATTCCATGTTTTCTTATAATATTACCAAGTGGCAGCATATATATTGAGAATAGCAGAGGGCCTAACACTGATCCTTGCGGTACTCCATAGTCTACTGACGTTATCTTTGATTTTTTTCCCCATTTAAACAGACAAAATGAGAACGGTCCGATAAGTACGATCTAATCCAGCTTAATGCCTGTCCTAGAACACCAGTGTAGTTTTGTAGTCGATCCAAGAGTATTTTATGATCTATAGTGTCGAACGCAGCGCTAAGATCAAGTAGGATCAATACTAAGATCAATACTTTGAGAAACAGCCTTGGTCAGAAGCTAAAAGTAAATCATTTGTAATTTTAACAAGCGCAGTTTCTGTACTATGATGCGGTCTGAATCCTGACTGGAATTTTTCATAGATATCATTTTCTTGCAAAAAAGAGCACAATTGAGCGGACACAACTTTTTCTAGTATTTTGGACATAAATGGAAGATTTGAAATGGGTCTTTAATTTGCTAAATTAGTTGGATCTAGTTGCGGTTTCTTAATGAGAGGTTTTATTACTGCCAGCTTGAATATTTCTGGAACATGACCTAAAGATAAAGACGAGTTAATAACAATTGGCTTTATGCACAGCTGCACTACTTCCTGAACTTCAGCCAGCTCCTTGTTTCCTGTGTGCCATATTGGACAAACTTGATTAATTCAGGTGTGCCTGATTATTGTTGTTGTGACTACCGAGGTCAGACACACCTGGATTAATCAGTTTGTCCAATAATGGAAGACGGGAAACAAGGAGCTGGCTGAAGTTCAGGAAGGAGGGGAGCTGTGCATGAAGCCAATTTCAGACCCCTCCATGATTTCTAAGTGGGAGAACTTGCAAAATAGCAGTGTGTTCAAATACTTATTTTCCTCACTGTATTATAGCCTACTTGGCTAAATGGTAAATGGACTGCATTTATATAGCGCTTTCATAGACCCAATGACCACCAAAGCGCTTTACATTTGCCTCACATTCAGCCACATATATACACTCATTCATATAGCCTACCGACGGCGGTGTCAGCCACTGCCGCCCTAAAACGCGGCTAAAACCTTAGTTGTCAGACTGAACACACTTCAGCTGGTCAGGCCCATAGACTGCAAAAAAAAAAAAAAAAAAAAAACTCAACTACTGTAGAAAAAAGGCCATTTCATACTCAATATAGCACGGCCTCAAGTGTACTTGTTTTATGGGACATTTAATACATATAAATATTAATGTAATTTTTGAATTGTGATTTTTTTTTTTCAGTAAACATCTTTAAATGCTTTGATTCCGTTGGAAGATATTCCCTCGTAGTCGCGACTCGCACAACAGCAATTTCTGTGAATCTATGTGTGCACAGCTGGAATGCTGAGTTTGTATTATCATCCAGATCCGGAACTACCTTAAAAACAATGTCTAATTTTAGAGATTTCTTCTATTTCTTCTTTTCAAACTGACGTGTTTTGGCTTATTATTTAACGCTGTATGCCACACTTAAAATTTTTCACCCTGTAATTATAGTTACATTTTTTTTTATTAGGGACCATATAACCTTGAATATAGCTAATTCTTGAGTTGTTCAAGTTGGACCCCACAGGGCAAAATAAAGCCAGAACTTTTCATTGCAAGATTCAAGGACTTCCTGACTCATGCCACTTGTTGTTTAGGTCATTGTGACTAATAATTATAAAAGTGTAAATCAAGAGTTTTAGCGTAGGCCTAATTATGTTTAATTGCTGTTCACAGAAAACTAGACAGTGAGCGTGGATACGCCTTTCCCTTTCTGTCGGTTTAACGATGGGGTGTCCAATCCTGCTCCTGGAGGGCCATTGTCCTGCAAAATTTAGCTCAAATCCCAATTAAACACACCCGAACCAGCTAAATCAAGGTCTTAAAGGGCTAGTTCACCCAAAAATGATAATTCTGTCAGTATTTACACACCCTCATATTGTTCCAAACCTCTATGTTCCAAACCTCTATGTACTGGGGAATGAGATCTGTTTGATTAAAACATTCTTCCACATATCTTCCTTTGTGTTCAGCAGAACAACTAAACACACAGGGGTTTGGAACAACATGAGGGTGAGTAAATATTGACAGAATTTTCATTTTTGGGTGAACTAACCCTTTAATAGGCATACTAGAAAGTTTCTAGTAGAAACTTACAGGCAGGTCAAGTTGGCTCATACAGATACAGTTTGGACACCCGGCTTAACGTAACAAGAGTACAATAACACCTCCTTGTGGTTAGTAAAGGCAACTGCATTGATCATATAAAGAAACAATGTGGGAAAGAATTTGTTTCATGTTTACCAGACAGTAAAAATGAAGCAACACACTTTGTTGTTGGTTTTTAATAAATTTCTTCCAGAGATTGTACATGTTTGTTTTTAAAATAAAGATAAAATCATTAAGCTTGTAGATTTTAGATTATAACTAGAGTGCACGATTGTATAACCTTATGTGATTTGTTTTTATATTTGTTCACATCTCTATAGGTACTTTTTCTCAGCAGGATATGTAGGACTAGTATTAAGCTGATATAAGTGGTATTTGCACTGGCTACAAACCTGCACTGTCTCTATTTTGCTGTTTACAGCATTGAGCTGTGACACTGGCTGCAGATAGGGAAAATAGCTATTTTTTAATAGTCCATTTTCATGCTTTTAAAATCCTTCAGAAAAGAATCTGTCACTGGTTAAATATATACTGAAATCATTTTGATAATGTGTTGCTTGCAAAAACTTAATTTTTAGTAAAAATATACTGATAAATTGGAATGAATGTCGATGGAGAAAAATGCTTTTTTTTTTTTTTCTCAGATGGGTGTAGTAGTTGCATCTACCAGCAGGGGCTGACTGGACAATCCCAACCAGCCAAATCTTCACTCACCCCATCTAAAATATCACAAAAACATGTGTATATACAAAGGCAGTGATTTTTGTCAGGGTATCGTATGCTTGGTAGTCCAAAATAAAATAGCTTACAGCAGAAGTGAGAAAGGGTCATGAGCCATGGTTTATAACCATTTTTTTTTTTTTTAAAGATTTGGTTTCGTTTTACATGCACTTCTAACACCCACTTTAATGTTGACATAAATGCTTTTGGAAAATATGGTGTCATAAATATATATACACTACCGGTCAAAAGTTTTAGATCGGTAAGATTTTTTATGTTTTTAAAAGAAGTCTCTTCTGCTCACCAAGGCTGCAATTATTTGATTATATATATATATATATATATATATATATATATATATATATATATATATATATATATATATATATATATATAATATATATATATATATAAAGAGTTCAGATGTAAAATATAGTAAAATATTATTACAATTTAAAACAGCGGTTTTCTATGTGAATATATAGTGAAGTGTAATTTATTCCTGTGATCAAAGCTGAATTTACAGCATCATTATTCCAGTCTTCAGTGTCACATGATCCTACAGAAATTATTATAATATGATGCTCAAGAAACATTTATGATTATTATTCATGTTTAAAACAGTTTTTTACATTTTTATTTCAGGATTCTTTGATGAATAGAAAGTTCAAAAGAACAAAATTGATCTGAAATGGGAAGCTTTTGTAACAATAATCACTACCATTCAAAAGTTTGCGGTCAGTAAGATTTTAGTTTTTATTTTTGGGGGAAAGAAATTAGAAAATACTTTTATTCATCAAGGATGAGTTAAATTGATCAAAAGTTACAGTAAATGTTAGAAAAATAGTAAATTTATAATGTTAGAAAAGATTATATTTTAAATAAATGCCGTTCTTTTGAACTTTCTATTCATCATAGAATTTGGGGGGGGGGGTGGTGGTACACGACTGTTTTCAACATTGAAAATAATAATTTGTTGTTTTTTTGCATAAAATCAGCATAATGATTTCTGAAGGATCATGTGACACTGAAAACTGATGTGTAATCAGCAACAGTAATGATGTTGAAAATTCAGCTTTCAAATTACATTTTATTAAATTTTTCCATCAAATAAAGCAGCCTTGGTGAGCAGAAGAGACTTCATTTAAAAACATAAAAAATCTTAGGATATATATATATATATATATATATATATATATATATAGTGGAAATTGTAATTCGCTTACCTTTTAAACAATATTTTCTTATTTTAAAAAAAAAATTATTATCCAGGTCCAGCCTAGTGTTTATATATAGAAAAGAAATATTAAGAAATATAAAATAATAAAGCATGTAAAATATGAATATTAAAACCTAAAATTCAGATTTTAGGTAGGAACACCTTAAGAGGTTCATTTTCATGCACTTTATCCAGGAACCCCAGGTTAAAATAAGGGTAGAGGGTCTCGGTGAAGGTGTCCTTGAAGGTGTAGAGGTGTGTCATGTTCTCAGCATCATAGAAGGACACCAGCCCTCTTTTGTAGTCCAGATAAACGCCGATTCTCGCCAGTGGCTCTTCCAAGGCCAGTAATGTTGGTGGAGACGTCCCAGCCATGTATTGAACTCCATACGACAGTGAGAGTGTCCAGAAGCCGTTGGCAGGCATGGTATTGATGACGCCTTTTCTTGTGACGGATTCACGAGCGACTCCTACGGTCCACACGGTGCTGCTGTACACCTCCACCTCCCAGTAGTGGCGGCCTTTAGTGAACCCTTGACTGCCCATGAGAGACAGGGCGGCGTTAAAGCGCTGTGGGTTATCCTGCACCGTGATGTTGAAGGTCTGGTAGCGCACACAGGTGAGCGAAGATGTAAGACTGAGCCAGGGGTTGGCTGTTTTGGAGTTAAATGTGATGGCTGAGGGAGCTAGAACAATGTAATAGAATGAATGAAGTATCATGTTAGTTCATGATATAGAAATCAGTTAAATGTAGTCAAATGAGTCCTAACTGTATTTACTGATTCTAGATTGTAGTCTATTGGAATCATTGGTGCCCCCCTTGACTTGGTTTAGATCTTATGTTACGGGTTGTACTCGATTTGTAAAGTTGAAGTGGTTTAGATCAGAGCCTACATCAATACTGGTGTTCCGCAGGGCTCAGTTTTGGGTCCTTTTTTTATTTATTGTTTATCTTTTACCCCTTGGCAATATTTTTAGGAAATCTGTTATTAAATTCCACTGCAATGCCAATGACACCCAACTTTACCTACCTGGTTTACATCAAATTTTCTTAAACTTAGAAGTAAAAATGAAATTTTTCTTGTTGTTTCAAAAATCAATCTGGCCAAATCTAAATGTTCCTCTGTGAATATTGATAATTGGATTTCTGGTATCCGTTTCTTGGTGTACTGTCAAAGTTTGGGTGTCATCTTTGACAGTATTTATCATTCGAAGCACATGTCATTGTCAGTGTCATTTGCTCTGCATATTTCCACATAAGTAAGATGACTCGACTTCATCCAGTTCTCTGAGTAAAGAGCACTGCAATTCTTATTCATGCTCTAGTCACTTCCTGTATTGATTACTATAACGCTCTTTTTTGTTGTTGTTTTTCTACAAACTCCAGCTACAGGAGAAAAAGCTTTTCTACAAACTCCAGCTATAGAATACAGCTGATACAATTATTTGCAGAATTCCTCTAACTGAACACATTACTCCCATTTTACACTTGGAATGGCTCCCTGTTAAATATATTGATTTTAAAATCCTCCTCCTAATTTAAAAGGCACTCAATGGGCTCTATGGACGGCGGTATTTCCGGTGAAGGTGTAAGGATGCTCGATAACTTCTGCCGATCGTAGAGTCCAATGCAATACCGAGAATTTATATTGAATTTTATACTCCATGGTTATACTAAAGAAACGTTAGTGACAAAAACAGATAAAACAGACACCCCTCGTTGTGTTTATGCTTCTTTTTAAAATTATATTAAATAAACATAACTATATATAAAATTACATCTAAACGTATGTACGTTTCGTTTCAAAGACGGGAGGACAGTAAATTTTGAAGACTCTGCCATAATCCCGTTTTCCTCGGTTTCCTCCACTTTAATCTGCACAACCGGAAATGGACGAGCATCTTTGCGTCAAATGCGGAATTTATGCGTGCATATAGCCCATAATCTTGCTTCATCATTTTTATCTGACCTTCCTCATATCTACACTCCTACTTTTACTTTAAGATTTTTTACATCTTTTGAACTCACTCTTGTTCTCCCTCGAACTCGTACGACTTCTATAAGGGTCCCAAGCCTTTAGTCATGCAGCTCCTTATTTACTGAACTTGTTGCCATATGATGTGCAAAACAGTGAAAGTCTTCATGTTTTTAAATCTCACCTTAAGACCCATCTTTTAGGTAGGCTTTTATCCGATTGCTGTAAGGGTGATAGTTTGGTTGTATTTCTAAGGTGTCCTTGAGTGTCATGTAAAAATTTATTATAATAATATTGTATAGTCATGTATAATAATAATAATATGGTGAAAATGCATTTTTTTTAAATATATATTTTTTTAGGATCATTCCCAAACCTGGATAGATGCTTCCCTTCAGTGACTTCCACACTCTGTACTGCAGGGGCCCGGCAAAGCGGCCCTCACACAGACTGGGTGGTGTCAGTGCCTGCCTCTCGAACTTCTGTGGCTGCCTGCTTGAAACAACAAAAGCCCAGACGCAAAAACAATTCAGGCACTTCCTCATGAAAATATTAGTGAACACATTAAATGTAACAGATCCATAGAGGTCACTCACCTTTGAAGCAGACCCTTTATACTCTGCAAAAAAAGACAGGAAAGAGGAGATTAATGATATTGGCTCAGTTCGAGAGGCAGGGACAGAAGTTTTCCACATGAGATCAGTGTTTGAAATTAAGCTACATCTGCAACTCTGGAAAATCCCCTTGTGCTGCACTAATGACATTATCTTCCTATTGCAAGGGTGAGATCATTAGATTGTTTCCTGTGTTGACTCAACCCAAGTGATATCCCTCAAAGCTTTTTGTAACAGTTAACTATTGGAATGATAATTTAGGATAAGATAAATTATATATTTATATATAATTTATCTTATCCTAAAGTAGAAAAATATTAAATATTACATGTAACATACATTAACAAGCTTCAATGTCTGCACACATTGCCAACCGTATAACACACTCCAATTTCAATTCTAATCATCACCACCTCCCATTGGAAAGTCTTTGGTGCTGCAAACATCTGAAAGTGTGAACGTGAGGCTGACTTTTCACTGACTCACCCTGAGTAGCGTGTAAGGATCTTGTTCGCTAAGTTTGTCCTCGATATCATGCATAGCTCTGCGCAGACGGGAGATCTCCACACTGAGCAGGGCCTTGTGTTCGTCCAGCCTTATCAGCTCCCGACGCTCCTCCGTCTTCAGCTTCACCTGCAGAAGTTTCTCTTCCTGGTACAGGAACTGGTGGAGCTCGCTGAACTGTGCCTCGATTCTCTGCTTCAGATCTGCAGTGTGCTCCTGCGTTCACAAGCAGTCGCATTTTAGGTAATGTTTCCCTCAGTTGGTGGAAGTCAACGTGTCTAGCAACTCAAGCTTGCGTAATACATTGAAGCGAATTTATTGAAAATGGTATTGAATGTTTTGAAATTGACTGGATCATGAAAAGTGGGCATTTTATTACAGAGGAACCAGAATTGTTTTTCTTCTGTTTTCCCCTTAAGTCTTGGTAGGTCTTAAAATGATAATTCACCCAACAAAGTAAAATCTGTCATCATTTACTCCCTATAAGGTTGTTCCAAACTTTATGCTGAACACAGTAGTAGATATTTTGAAGAATGTTGATAACCAAACAGTTGACATACAGCAGGCTACTAAGGAAGTCACCGACAACTTTGGTTCAAGCTTGTTCCAAAACAGCACTCTTAAAAATAAAGGTTCCAAGAGGGTGTTTTTCGCATCGAAGAACCATTTTTGGTTCCCAGAGCCGGCCCGAGGCATAAGCGAACTGGCCCCCTAATCGGGGTTATTTTTTATTTTTATTTTTTTAGATTACTTAAACAAGTGACATAAATCAATGAATGAATGAATGAATGAATGAATATGACTGAATGAATCAGTCCAGACTTAAACAAGTGACATAAATCAATGAATGAATGAATGAATGAATATGACTGAATGAATCAGTCAAGACAACAAAACTCTGATTTAATGATCAATATACCTGCCTACAAGTTACAACTGCTGCTGTGTCTGCCAGCGTTTAAGTCATGCGCATAATCCTCAAGACACCTCGCCCGTGCATAGACTGTTAGACAATTTGTGCGGAACTGTGCCTAGTCACGGTATCGGTATTGGAGAAAACAGCCCGCAGGGGAATTTAACCTTCAAGGTGTAAGGGTAGCAGTTTGAATAAATAATAAACATAGCAGTTTGAACTCCACTTTATTATCCACAAGTTTCCGAGGGGCGCTCCTGTAAAAAATAAAGTGGGTGAAACTTCCGGTGAGGCGGCGGAAGTAGCATTCCAATGGTATTTTGTGTGTTAGTTAGCGAAGAGGCTAGCTGTTTTTCAGAGAATTATTTTACTATTTAAAGACGCAAATCTTTATGAGAGATGGTGTTACGGAGTTCATGGACAACATGTGCTGTTCGCGGTTGTATGTATAACCGGACTAAACTAGTTCAGTGGCTTAAACGTGATTGTTTTGAACATATGCTGAAAACGAAATCAGAGTGTTCCTGCCAACGACAGTAGTTTCCATCACCCCCCAAAAGACGACGAATCTTCCTGTGTACATTTGTTTAAATTTTTAATATTCTATAAACTTTTTTCAGCATGTGTTTGGCTGTTCGCTACTGATGTTACAGCTAAACTCAGGATCAAAGCCTGTGTTGACAGAATACCAAATGTGCCAGTTAATGTATTCAAGCAGCACATTCATTTATAATTTTGAATAAACTCCAAAGCACAATGACTAAGTGTGTATTTTTTATTTTAATTGTTTGTCAGCTCACACAACTGTCTGTCACCATGCCTTGATGAGTATTGATTATTAATAATGTTATTATAATACTCCCAATCAACTACTGCGGAGGGTGAAGGTACTGTTATTTCACCTTTTTTAATTTCGTTGAGGTTGTGTTCCCACATCGTTAGCTAGTTTGGATCGCTATAACTTGAATGACTGTCAACTGTTGAATGAACAAGTGTCAAGCATGTCAAATCGTGCTTTGTTTACTTCCAACCGGAAGTCGCGCCCACTTTTGACGCAAGGCCTCATGGGGCGTAGGAAACTTGTGGATACCACACAGACCTCCAAAAACCCGCGACACTCCAGTAGCCTACCAAGTGCGCAGTCTGCACACGACCCATCTACGGCAAGCCCCGAGGGGAAAAATACATTGCATGTATACAACGAGCGCCAGAACATCATTACCGGTATTATAGTAACAGACTTTGTTGGATTATGTCATGTAATATCTAACAAAGTCTGTTACAATAATAATAATAATAATAATAAAGATTTTGAGGACAGTTACACTGTATTGAGACAGTTGAGAAATAGTAGGCCAAATATTTTTAGTTTTCAACAATAGGCTTGTTGAAGCCTTGCTCTTAAGTTTCTCAGTTTTGTCATAATTTTAGCAAATAATTTCTTTTATATGTTTTGAGACAGTTTTAAGACTGTTAAAACTTTTTTTATTTAAGTAGGCATCTATTATTTTTTTTATTAAGTATTAATTTTGTTGTAGCCTAATACATAACCTAAGTGTATTCATTTATAATGTATCATTATTGCATTACATTTGTGTCAATACTCGTCAAACACAGGTGACTCCGCGTCGTGGGAGGGGCCCCTAAATCAAATTCTGTTTAGGGCCCCCAAAAGGCTCGGGCCGGCTCTGTTGGTTCCTCAAAAAAACTTTAATTTAAAAGTTTTTAAAGAAACATTTTTTTCCTTAGTGTGAAGAACATCTGAACAACTATTTTCCAAAGAAACTTTTGTGCAATGGAAAGGTTCCATGGATATTAAAGGTTTTTCATGGAACCATCAATGGCAATAAAGAACAAACCAAATACAAAAATACAAAAAGTGTATGCATGTCTTGCTTCTGCTAAAAACAAACAAATATATATTTCTTTAATAAAAATGTCTCAGTGTTTTTGGACCATACAATAAAGGACAATGGGGTGAAATGTTGTTTTGATGGCAAATATGGACAAAAGCAGTTGAAATACTGCATCTTCAAAATATCTTTGGTGTTTGGAATGAAGCGAAGGTGATTAAATGATGGCAGACTTGTCATTTTGTGTGAACTATACTTTTTAGAAAGTAACTTTGAATTTGTTTATTTGAACCTACTATTTACTTACTGGAAAGCATCAAGAATATACTTGTAGATCAGGTCCAGGGTTCTATGGTCAACTAATATTAACATTATTGTGACACTAAAATAAAATTAAATATAAAAAACTTAAACTTGGAAATTGTAATTTTCATTAAACTTAATATACTAAAATAATTTTTAATAATAATAATAAAAATTAATTAGAACTGTAAAAACATATATATATATATATATAATTGACAAAAACACAACAAAATAATCAATGATAACGGAAAATATGAAAATAAATAAAACCAAACCAAAAAAATTGAATATAAACTATACTGGTATCTCAATATACTAAAATAACACTGATCGGGTTAGGTTTAGGAATGATTGGCCAATGCTTTCCATGGAGTATTGAAGAGTGTGCATGAGATTGTGTGGCAGGACTTTCTTCTTACCTTCAGTTTCTTCACCTCCTCTTCAGTCTCTCTCTCACACTCTAGAGCAGTGTTGAGCTCTTTTTGAAGGGCAGTTGCAGAAGTGGTTAGAGAAGCCTATTCAACACAAAAACAATGGCCTTTTTGCTGCTGAGCTGAAGAGGGTACAAAATAAGAAACAAATTGTCTTTGATTCTTACCCGATATCTCTTCTGTGCATCTTGCACGCACACCAGCGTATGAGCCCGGTGATCCTGAGAGATCCCGCACACCAGACACACCAGCTCCTGGTCTTCCTCGCAGTAGAGTTTCAGCTCTTCTCTGTGTCGGCTGCAAAGTGGGGTTTTAGGAACTGTGTCTGCCGACAACTCGGTCAGCCGACCCCCACTTTCCTCGATCCCCTGGCAGTAGCTCTCCACGATGTTGGCTACAATGCGGTTGGGTCGGTAGCTCTGGCCAGGGAAGACTTTCCGGCACTGAGGACAGGAACCAGACCCGCATTGGCCTTTGCCGCGAGGGCCGCTCCAGTAGCTGGAAATACAGGCCTCACAGAAAGTGTGGTCGCAGGGCAAGGAAACCGGATGCTTGAACAGGTCCAGGCAGATGGAGCAGGTGAGGTCCCGGCTCAGGCGCTGCGCAGAGCTCTTGGACACTCGAGGACTGAGTTCAGCCCTCAGCTTTTGCTTGTCCATTTTGTCCTGTGTGTGAGTATTGTTGGACATCTAGTCTGTTCTCTGTGGTCTTCAGTGCTGTTCTTCTCTTGGTCTCTTCCCTGCCTGCTCTCTCAGAGCTCTGGGCCTGTCTTTCCTGTTGACTCTGAGACAGGATAGGGGGAGCTGAGGGGGCGGCTCTTGTCTCAGGCTTGATCTTGCCGAAAGTTGGCTGCAGTTGCAGGTCCCCTTTGCTTTCCTTCAACATGACGTCAGACCTACAGCTAGGAAACCAAGAGCCTTGAGCCCAAGAACTGTTTATTTTTGGAGAAAGCCCCTTCTAGATTGGTCTTATGAAATCTTGTATAAGAAACTTTATTCCACACATACAGTAATCCAAAACATTTGAATCCCCTCCATGTGACTGCATATATCAGCATAAAAAGCTTTGTAAGTAAAACCAGATGTGCCCTACTTTTTCCCACTCTTTCTTTTCAAAACTTGCATAAAGGATATAAGCATATTTCACAATGCATTTTCAGATGCATCATTATATTTGTCAGTTTTCGCATAACTTTCATCTATTTCTAACTTTCACCTTTCTATTTATTGAAGTTTTGTCTCACAACTTCCATCCAATTACTTTTTAAATAATTTATTTTATTTCTGAACGTAAAAGCAAAACTTCTGTCTCACAACTCCCACCCAATTACTTTTTAAAATATAAGTTTATGTATTTTATTTGATTTTAACCTGAATATCTACATTCTCTGTATAAGTGCTGAGTCCCACGCATCCGTCCTCAGTAAAACAATATCTATTTTTCTCTCCTGATTGACAATAACTATCTCCATGCATTATGGTAAGATAAACAATAACAAATTGGTCATTTAGTATTATTTCGGATACACTTTGAGGTGTTCTTGTTAAAGTGTAACTACATTTAAGTACTGAGCATTATTACATAACAACATGTACTTACTATATAATTAGGGCTAGTGTTAGAGTTTGGTTTAGGGCTAGTTGCATGTCATTATGCATAATTTAATTAATTTTAATTTTATTACTACAGTAAATACATGTAACAAGGACACTGTAAAATAAAGTGTTACCAATTTTTTAAAGTAAGCATTTGAGGACGACTGCTGAGACAGTTGTTTATCCTGTTTAAAGTGTCATTGTGGTCTGCACATGCCTGCATGCTTGTGTTATATCTCTAGGGACTGCAAGCTGAAAAGAAAGGGCTGGGTTTTAACTCTCTCCTCATGTTCCCCAGGACCGCTCGGCCTCCGCTTCCTTCCTGTTCGTTCAGTATTGTCGAAGTTCAGTTCCATATACCCTGCCCCCTCTTCCAAGTTCTCAGAGAGAGAGAAAAAAAGATGGAGCTACAGCTATAATTTAATACAGAAAAGAATAGCTAAGTGGATGTTTGAATAAACATAGATATAGCTGTGGAGTGTCTCTTGGGAAACACAAAGTCAAAGTCTTGAGGGCTCAGAGGGGCTCAAATGGGTTTCAGGTCAACTCTACAGTGGTGATATCTCAATCTTTACAGGAAACTTGGCAGTCACGATAGGGGCTTTTAAATCAGAGACGCCTTTACAGTTGTTTACTAGCATTGGGAAATTCCACCCCACTTCAGCTGGGTGGGTTTAAGAGTTTGGGGGCTAAAGTGGAAACATGAGAATCCCACACTAGGAACCAGCTGGTAAACCCTGCGGTTGAGGATTCTGCCTGCAAACACGGCAGACTGAGCGCACTGCTGTTGCACTGCTGATTCGTGCAAACACTGTGAGTCACTGCATGAAGCCTCATGCGAGTTTCACTGCATGAGTCACCATTTGATCCCATTCCACAAACATTATCATGCACGCCTGAAACAATGCTCTAATATCCCCACTGTACATGCTATGGAGGAATGTTTACACAATTTGAGGTCACGCTATAGATTGCTTCCATTTATTCATACAGGGAACTGCAAAAGGATAGCTGACATGTCCCACAGTCGAGGCAGTGATCTGTTTTAAATAATCATTACTTTGTAATAATTGTTACTGATGCAGTTTTTTGGGACAAAACAATGACACTGATATATTTGAAGATATATCAGAGCAAGTTGCTTTCAGTTAAAACAGCTCAAACATGCATTACTAGGCCTAAACCTCAGTTTCAGAAAGAAGGTTAAGGGAAACTGTTAACCCTGAAATGAGGGAAACAGAATGGGAGGCGATGTCAAACCTTAGAAAACAGGGTAAGTCAAGGCTGTTTCTGGAAGAGAGGTAATTTATAATCTGAGTCAGTTACCATGGTAACTTACTCTGTGAACCTAACCTGGTCGGGATCAGGTTTTCTGGTAAAAGCAGAGTTTCTTATAGTCTCCTCCCCCTTCTTTTTTTAAATACTTAATTCATTCATTCACGCTGCATAAATACTTCTTACCCCAATTGGCCACTGACGCTTTTGACATTTCGTCTACATCCAACGCACATGGCACCCTTTAGCGCCAATATGAGACGCAGATATATATGGGCCAGAAGGCGCCTCCTAGTGGTCTAACCCTAACCCTACCCCAGAACTAAACATAACCGAACAAAGCTCTGTGTGTGTTATATTGACGCTAAAGGGTGCCATGTACGTTGGATTTAGACAATTTTGGATTTCTTTCAAAAGCATCACCATATAACGCGGCAGATAATTTGCAAAATAAGATAAATGCACTTAAATTATTTAATTTTTTCCCCCAGGAAGCAAGACGAAATAGCCCACCTTATACCATTTTTATTATGATTGATTTAAGAATCTTTAGATATTTTTTACTGGATACAAGACAAAAATACTATGAGTAATGGCAGTGCATACATTCATTCATTGAGCATATTTCCATTATGAAGACACTGTTCACTGTTAAAGGGACAAAAATGGCATGCCATTTTATATAGGGTCCTGTAGATGAGGAGGCAGCATTCATTCATAGGGAGTTAAATTGAGAGATCGTAGATTGGCATAGTCGTGCAGTGCATGCAATTAACTCGCAAGTCAACCTACTCAGAGTTGAGTGAACTAACTAAATTCAGCTGTTCTGAAACCGAAAGCTCAAGTTTCCCGAGTTGGTTGAACCTTACCTCCTTCTTGAAACAGGACCCTGTTCTGTGAAACCGCAGACACAAGTACTTAGCTTACTTTTTTTCTCTTCCATACTTTATTTTGTGGTTTTCGTAGATCAACAACACAAAAAAACGTTACATCTGACATCTCAACATCTCTTAGCAAAAGAGAACTGCAAGGCATTTGGCTCAAATAAATAATTGACGTTTGAATTGGCGACATCTTGTGGCTAATAGCTGAGATTGTTGTCCTTTACATTTCAGCGTTTTCAAGATTCAATCATTTTTGACAAATTATACATGCATGTATCTATATAAAATACTTTTAATAATTAATTTATCACACTGCGGTAGGATTAAATTCAGATGATAACTAACATACTAAATTAATTCATAGGGCCTAAATGTTACACATGCACGTTATTTGTAGGATTTTTATTTTTATTTCATGTAAGTCTATTTTGTTCTTAAATGCTGTATTCAAATGTCATTTCGGTCATTAAACATTCTCAAAAAAAAAGTGATTTTTAAGAGTTACTGGTTTGACAAAGGCATAGGACAAAGGACGAGCTGACGCAACACATCAAATGCATAGACGATCAAATGCGTATGAAACGCCCTCTTGTGGTCAACGGCTGCAGTTCGGTCCTTTTTCCAGGAGGAGTCAAGCGTCAGAGGAAATGACGAAGGCAAGAGAGGGTAAGTTTATCAAAGTTCCAGCAAAAGCGCGCGCAGTTACACTCAGAGCCTCGAGAGAAGACAGGACAGATAAACCAGTGTTAACTACTTTTACAGTCTTTGGATTTATACTTGGTACCGTTAAAATACTTTGATAGACAACTAGTACAGCGTTCCTGCACTTGAAGACAAGCAGAAAACCAGGCCGCGCTTGTGTCATAACAGGATTTATATAACTATTTTTCTTTCTCACATAAGAAAAGGAGCACAATGTTCGAGGCACGTCTCGTTCAAGGATCAATCCTTAAGAAGGTTCTGGAGGCTCTGAAAGACCTCATCACCGAAGCCTGCTGGGATGTCAGCTCCTCAGGCATCTCTCTGCAGAGCATGGACTCCTCTCATGTGTCTCTGGTGCAGCTCACACTCCGGAGCGATGGGTTCGACTCCTACCGCTGCGACAGAAACCTGGCCATGGGTGTCAATTTGAGCAGGTAACGTTAATGCTTGAAATTAATTGTTGTTTTCTCATTATTTGTCGTCTAAACGCTTAGAAAGTGCAAGTTGAACATGTCTGTACATGCCTGACTGTGCGAGCAAACAGCTGCCCGCCATTTTTAAGATGTAGAACAAAATGTCTTCATTCACAGTTAGTTTAGAAATATATAGTTCGAATGTGTTTAATGCCGTTAATGTGTGTTAATTATGTCAGTACTAGCAATATTTGGCGCGCAGAGTGTTTCCTGTATTCTTCCATCATTGCTGGTCGTGACGTCATTTACGCGCGCTCAAGCTTGTTGGCGGGAAATAAAGCCGGGTTGCTAAATGACTATGGCTTTACAGTTAGACAAAGAAAACTTAATTAAAAAGAATTGTGAACAACCAATATACAGTTTTATAAAATAAAAGTGGTTCAACGTGGCTGTAATGTGTTTTACATTACAAATACAAAGAACGTGTTTGTTTTAAACTTATTCAGAATGTCATTCTACATGTTTCAATAAAAAGTGCCTGTTCATTAATTTGAAAGGAATTGTTCTTCTTTTCCAGCATGTCAAAGATTCTGAAGTGTGCTGGAAATGAAGATATCATCACGCTCAGGGCAGAAGACAATGCAGACTCTTTGGCACTGGTCTTTGAAACACTCAGTAAGTACATAAGACTAAATTTAAATTTAGTTATGCATTTAATCTGATACCGGGAATCATAATATCCAGGACATAGAGCTAAAATAAACTAGATTAAAGCTCACTATCAATAAAAACAAGCCATGAGTTATACTAGAGTGAGTCGGTGCTGATCTCTGAATGTGTTTGTAGATCAGGAGAAAGTGTCCGACTATGAGATGAAACTGATGGATCTGGATGTGGAGCAGCTTGGCATTCCAGTGAGGCTTTTTATTAAACATGCGTAATTCTGATATTATTGTGCATGTTTTCTCCAATGGTCATGTTTTGTTCTGTTCTTTACCTCAGGAGCAGGAATACAGTTGCGTGGTGAAGATGCCCTCTGGTGAATTCGCCAGAATCTGCAGGGATCTGTCGCAAATTGGCGATGCCGTCATGATCTCATGTGCCAAGGATGGTGTGAAGTTTTCTGCCAGTGGAGAGCTGGGTACAGGCAATGTTAAGCTTTCACAGACCAGCAGTGTCGACAAGGAGGATGAAGCGGTAACATTCTTTTAACATTGACAACATAACTAACTAAAGTCTGCACTATCTATGAGGGTAATTAACAACACTGTGTTCCTCACAGGTGACAATTGAGATGAATGAGCCAGTGCAGCTTATTTTTGCATTGAACTACCTGAACTTCTTCACCAAGGCCACTCCTCTGTCCAAGACAGTCACACTCAGCATGTCTGCAGACATTCCACTAGGTATGAAAAATGGTCACATGCTCATTACATTGCATTTTGAATTGAAATGATTGATGGTCCTTTTCCTCCTGCAGTGGTTGAGTACAAGATTGCTGACATGGGACACGTCAAATACTACCTGGCACCCAAGATTGATGAAGAATCCTCCTAAATCCAAGTAGAAGACTTAAGGCTGTCATCTGTGGGATTTAATTCTGCATATAAGAAATTGTTTGGATAGATGTTTTGAGAAAATGAATTTTACCACTCAGTGTCTGCTGTGGTTTCCAGTTCAATGGATTCACAATTCTGTGACCTAAGCCATTTTATATGATTGGCAGATAAATGGGTGCACTATGGTAGTTTGGTCCTTAGCTTTACCAGGCACTGTGGGCTGAATCTAGAGTACTTATGGTAGCATACAGACTCAACTTTGGTCTCATTTTCTCAAACTTGGTCCCTCTTTATTCCATTTCAGGTTTTTGTCAAACTGCTCATTCTTATGTATAGATTATTGTCTGTAAATATGCTAGTTGGACACTGTTCATCCAGTCAACCATAAATAAAACTTTTTGTAATGATGATTTGTGATTGTGTATCTCCTGTTACAAGATGTTTGATATTTAAAAGATGAAGCTGTTTAGATATTCTAAAACAATGTTTAATGTATTGTTGAACTTTGCAGTTTGGAACAATTTGAAAGTTTGGCCACTAGAGGGAGCCAGCGTAACATTTACTGCAGTTAGATATGTTTGCTCAAGCTTCATCATGAAAACAATCCCCTTTTCATAGTCTTAATTATTGATTAAAATGGGAATTGGCACTTTTATGTAGAGAAAATGTAATTGAAATAGCATATCTAATTGAGATAAACATTTCCATTTGTAAGACAAAAGATGCTGGATGTTTGATTGCAGCTAAAAAAAATCGTTCTTTAAAGGGTTAGTTCACTCCCCAAAAAATGAAATTACTTACTCTCAAGATGCCCTAAACATGTTTGAGTGTTTATTCTGTTGAACACAAACAAATCTCAGTCACCAGGGGCCTGTTTCAGAAAGGAGGTTAAGTGAAAACTCTGAGTATGTTAACCCTGAAATGAGGGAAACTCTGGGTTTTCCGTTTCAGAAAGGGGGGTATATCAAACCCGAGAAAGCAGAGTAAGTCAAGCCCGTTTCTGAAAGAGAGGTAACTTATACTCAGAGTCAGTTACCATGGTAACTTACTCTGTGAACCTAACCTGGTCGGGAGCAGGTTTTCTTCAGTAAACCCAGAGTTTCTTGTGGTCTCCTCCCCTTTTTTAAAGAGGAAGTGCTGTTTAAACACCAACAATAATACTAAAATGTATTTACACATTCTTTAAGGAATATATATATTGTTTGTCCATGGTTTAATTGACTAAATCTGTTTTGCAGCACTTTGCCAAAAAATAAAAGGATTAAAACATTTGCTAAACTTTTATTTGATTACCACTGTTTTGGATAATATATTTCTATTAAATCATTGAAAAAATTTTAATAAAATTTAATAAGTTATTAATGATAAAAAATAAGATGTCAATCATAATCATAATCAATTATTGAAGTTAGTTGATATTATGTTGTATTGAACAAATGTTTAATGTATTTAACTGTCATTTTAACTGATGAAAATAATAACCGTAATTTAATAATGCAGTTTATATATTTAACAATTGTTTAATACCATAAACCGTGATATTTTCTGAGACGGTTCTCATACTGTGAAACTCTCATACGTTACAACCCCACATGGGGGAGTCCCCCACCCCACCCCCGCTGTTAAACAAGTTACTCAGCAACTTTTACTCATGTTTTAAATTAACTACTTTTTACTTGAGTAGATTTTTTAGACTGGTATTTTTACTTTTACTTAAGTAAAAATGTATCAAAGTATTAGTAGACTACTTTAGGTTGAATAACATTCTTCCAGTTTCACCTCTGATATTATAACAGTTACTCTAAAATAGTTATGAATTATTAACAACAAATGACATCTTCAACGGTGTAGTTAGATTAATGTAATAATTACTATCTCTAGAAAGTATTGGTCTACATATTACTAAATCCTATATCAACCTCAACCACTTGATTAATACAAGGAGGAGAGACAAGAAACTGCACTTTTAATGCTTTCAAATTAACAATACAATTGCATGAATTATTCTTGAATTGATCAAAGTGTGTAGAGGGAGAAGGTTATATAAAAATATACCTTTTAAAAATGTATGTAGTAAATCCAATCCACTATTGTTTTATACTGAATTGGTCTATAGTTTATGCAGTAGCCTATTTAATGTAATTGCATCATATTTTATTTTAAATTAAAGAAGAATTAAGAGTGATCCCTTTAATTAAATTACAATATTTAGATTACTTGGTAATTAATTATACCCAACACCTCTTTTTGTCTGGCGCTGTTGCCATGGTGACTCATAATATCTGCGCTCCATTGATAATGGCTTTTTATAGCTGTGGTGCACGCGCTTAACTCAGAGTCAGTCAACTCAGAGTTGATTGAACTAACTCATTTCAGCTGTTCTGTAACCGAAAACTCAGAGTTTCCCATCTCAGGGTAAGTCAACTCTGAGTTCAAGCTTTAACTCAAAGTTGGTTGAACCTCCTATTGAAACGGGCCCCAGATCATCAATGGTAGCCAATGACCTAGTCAGCTAATGACCTTCCTTCCTAAGAAATGCTATGGAAGTCAATGGGTGCCATCAACTGGCTACCAACATTCTACAAAATATCTTTTGTGTTCAACAGAAGGAAGAAACTCATAAAGGTTTGGACCAATATGAGCGTGAGTAAATGACAAATTTCATTTTTTGGTGAGCTATCCCTTTAAGTCAGATCTTTTCAGTGAATTTATTGAATCGGGTCTTAAAACCGGTCTGGGTAATGGAGACCAATGGTTCAATGCTTTTGAGAAACATAACCCTGAACGATCCGTTCATGAATCAGTCTGCTGGGTTCTCGAGTCATCTCTCAGATTTATCGAAGGATGTCCTATTCATAATGATCTGAAAACATACAAGCTGAGCCTTAAAGTAAAAGGATTTTGAACTTTATAAAAATTTAATTAAACACTTATTAATAAAATTTTTTTTAAAAAAACCCTGTGTGTGCTATTCTTCTTTAGGACCTTTCAGGACATGCCCCAAATCTGGTTATGAAGTTGAAACAAACTGTTTTACAGTATCGATTCGCAACAAATGATCTGATTACTAGAAAACGCCTCTGAAACCAATTTTTGCTTGGTGTCATTACAGTGATGTAGGCGGAGAAACAAACACAGGTCCACATCTAGTGTAGCCAAAACATGCCGAGAAGCTGTGTGGTTTAATTTAAATTTGGGCATTTTAGTAACCTGGTTGCAGGGCCTCTATAGCTTGGATATTTGCACTTTAAAGACATCTTGTGAAGAATACCAAAAGAGTCATTGCATCTCTTTGTGATGTTCTTGTATATAAATACATGATGAAACTATGGACTCATATGCAGGGTTTAATGTTATTTTTATTTTGATACTTCAATATTTCGAAGAATTAGCCGTTACAATTGCATTTAGCAATTTTAAAAATAGACAAAAATTGATTGGAAGCATAAACACCAACAAACCTTAATAATAAATCCTACACAATTTTAACAACTGTTCAGACTAACCCAAATAAAATCTTTACATTCGTACACAAAAAAAAAAAAAAAATCATGTTTTGAGAGTGTCCCCACAGTAAGGTTTTGTGAGATTCAGTTTACTTAGGGGACAGTTTAGCTGTGCACATAGACACAGTTCAATATCTTATAAGATATTGCAGTCTTTGTTCTCCTTATGCTTCTTTTTATAATTGTGATGATTTGCCATGGCCATAATTCCCTGCATGTCATAAATGATCTCCAGCAGTTTTTTCACCTGATGATGGCTTTTGTCATTGTTGTTAAATGCATGACATCTTGAATGACAGATTTTGATCAGTTCCTGAAGTTCTTTGTCACTTCCATTGATGTAATCACTTAAAGTCCTGTTCTTCAGCTTCTCTTTACCAGTGAAAAGAATCACAATCTTTGAAATCACATCCTCGCCAAACTCTTTCTTCAGACGTGGGAGAACTTCTCTCTCGCCATCTGTGAAACGGCCAAGCTGCATAACCAGCAAATATATGTCAGGCCCTGGCTGTGTGAGCTCTTTGCACTTCTTTATCTGCTCTTCCTGGTTTTTAAGGTCTTCACTGAAGAAATCTGGGGTGTCTATGACCCTAATCTGCACTTCAAGGACAGCTTCCTCTGCCATCTGGCATTCTTTTGTTACTGGCATAGAACTGGCACGTGATTCAAAATGTTGCTTTTTCAGAATTGTATTTCCTGTCGCACTCTTCCCACTTCCTGTCTGTCCCAGTAGCACAATGGTCATTGGTTTCGGCTGATGCACGGCTGTTGATGTATAGAATTAGTTAGAAAACACAGCCAGAGCATATACCAAACTATAGGTTTTATGCCGAGCGTCACATGACCAAACCGGAAAACGGGTCTCATCGCATCCGCTCAGAGAAAGTGTTAACGGCCGTAAGAACTGACTACGATATCTAAGGTAGTCAGCTAACCTACATAGTTCACTTTGTTAAAGGTGTTTTATTCCATTTAAATATCTAAACTTTATGTGAAGAAGAAAAAATATAAAACGTTTAAATATCAATCTGCACATGTGAGGGACATTGGTTATGCTAATCTTTTGCTCACTCCTTTTAAGTTATCTTGAGTATAACCGCAAAAATGAAGCACATACAAAAGACCTGAACCGGAAGCGATGCGATCTGTTTTACAGAATGCGGAAGTAAGTTGTGCATAGAGCCTATTATCTACTAGTGCATAGGTGATATTTTCTAATTCATATAGGCTGAACTCAAACGTTTTATTACCTGCTTTGTCTGGTGCTGGTTGCTTTGTCTTCATATTGTCAGGTGTCCTTCTGGAATTGAAAGAGTGATTGATAGGGTTATAGAAATTAATTAAATTATTGCTGCTCATCATAACTATGTATTACCTACATTTCTCTGACAGATTCAGATGTTTGGGTTGTCTGCATGCCTTCTGTGTGTTTCATCAGTTCTTTGATTAGTTCATCTCTCTTCATGTCTCTGTTGTAAACACACAATCTGTTTCCACACTCATGCAGGATTATGGAGTAGTCTTTGGAGTAGTATTTTTTGAAGGTTTCTAGTCTGTCTGTTGATTTTGAAGGTAACGTTTTTTCACTGTTTACCAGCACAATTGTGTTTTCAACCATTTTCTGTCCAAGCTTCTTCTTCAGTTCAGTAAACATCTCCATCACTTTTGGTGACACCATTTTGTTCTTGAGTATGAGGAGGAACACGCGCGGACCTGTGTATGATGGCTTCAACTCCCCCATTCTGTCAGCTTCTGGATCTGATTCTGAGTTTGGTTTATGAAAACGGTCTGGAGTGTTGATAATACAGAGTGTCTTACCCGCAACACTATCCACAATCTTCTCACAAGTTAATTTTTCTGTTTGGAAATGATCTCGGTCAAGAATTTTGTTTCCTATCAGCCGC